ATTATTATTATTATTATTATTATTATTATTATTATTATTATTATTATCGTATGGTGTTTAGCATGCAAGCATTACAACACAATAAAAATTATTAACAAATAAACTTAATTATAATAAAAATAAAAATAAAATAAAATAGAACAATAATGTTATAATATAATATAATTAGTTAACTTTTTGGTCAATCTTTTGGTAACTTCTGTGTAATGGGATGATCCTTTATAGGAGAACATCGAGTGATCTCAACTAGGTCAGGGCCACATGCAAAACGTTGTGGATGTCATTAATTGTTCCATTGAAAGCTCGAATCGGCCAATGCCCCCTGATATGCTCTATTGTTTGAGAAGTGTGACCGCAGTCACACGCAGGAGAGTCTTTCATACCCCATTTGAAAAGCATTTCTCCACATCCTCCATGTCGGGTTCGAATTCTGTTTAAAGTGACCCATTCTCGACGCTTAAGTGTGAAGCCCGGTACTTGGGAGCATGGGTCCTTGATTAGTTGATGGCTGTCAGGGTTTGATAGGCTCCAACTTGTTCTCCAGTCATTCTCTCCATTAAACTGGTTTTGAATAAGGTCTTTTGCTGTTAGGCAGACAGGCTTCCTCGACTTGAGTCTCAAAGTACAGTCCATAGGTGTATCTTTATGTATTGGGAGTTTAACATTATGTGTATATTTAGACCACTATCTTGTAGTAGCTGTCAAACGTCGGATATTTGGTAGGTGTATATTACATAGCACTGGGAGCCACCGAATAAGGGTAGTTTTTACTACATCTGTGATGATATGCATGGTAGAATTAAGTTGTACATCAATTTTAGAGCAGTGTGCACTATTTAGCCATACAGGAGCAGCGTCCTCTGCGGTTGAGTAGACTAAAGCTAATGCGGATGTTCTAAGGGTTTCAGTTGAGGCTCCCCGAGTTGAGCCAGCGAGCTTTTGGATGATGTTATTTCTTGTTCTTATTTTTGCAGCGGTATTTTGTAGGTACTCAATCAAGACTTAGAAAAACTCCACAAATTCTTCCAACAGTGGCGCCTCAAACTGAATGTACAAAAAACGGTGGCTACAACTTTCCATTTAAATAACAAAATAGTAAAATAAATCATCCTCCCCACGACTATTTCTTAGTTATGCAGGAACTCAGTCTCATTTCACTGGCTGACAGGCGAGTTAACGCTAACATAGAGTTTCTGAATAAACTGGTTGATGGTCGTATAGATGCTCCCTCACTTCTCTCGTTAGTCAATTTCAAAGTTTCTTCCCGTACTACTAAATACCATGCTCCTTTCGTTGTTCCTGCGCACACTATCAACTATGGCAGAAATAATCCGTTAGACCGCATGATGCAGCTGGCCAATGAGAACACCGTTCATCAAAACTGATACATTTATTATTATATATTTTTATATTTGTTTTATAATCATTATTATACTTATTATTCCGTAATTATTATCTTATAAATTTAATTGTGTCTTTGTATTAATTATTTAAATCATATACTACTGTATTATGTTAAACTGTTGTGAAGGGCCCAGCCCGTTAACAAATAAAATAAGATAAAAAAAATACCAACCATCTATTACATTCGGAAATCAAATACTAGCTTACAACCCCACTCCTAAATATCTCGGAGTTACTCTTGACAGGACACTTACGTACAAAAACCACCTACAAAATATAATAAATAGATTTTATCATTATACGATGTTATAAAACTTATGTCTCAACTATCGCATTAAGTTAATAAAAATAAAATTTTAAGAATATTAAAAAAATAAATTAAAATTAAAATAATTAAATTTATGTTAACTGAAAAATTAAGAGAAATAAAAAGAATTATAAATATGTATGTTTTGTTATATCTTTTAATGTAATTTATTATATAAAATAATTATTGTTATTTTGGTTTTAATAACATGAGATGTTTTGTAAAAAAAAAATGTATTCGAAAAATAAATTTGAAAGGGGGTCCGGAATCTTTCATCAGGGGTCCGTGATCTACAAAAGGTTAAGAACCGCTGATATACCTAATATCAGTTCCGAAATTTGTTGTGATAATGTCAATAAACATAAGTTATTTATAATAATACGACGTATTATGTTATCGCGTGTGGCGTGCGGTGGCGTGCCTATCACACAAAAATAGCATTGATTATAGAATATCTATAAGGTTCATGAGGATCTATCTCCTATATTTTCCGTGGATAAGCCCCTTAGAGGTGCGCCAGTTTTTTTTTTTTTTTTTTGCGCCGGGGCGCAAAAT